AGGAATTATTCACAACAGCAGAAAAAATACACCTGAATTTCTTTGGAATTCACCAGAGATCCCTCTGTGCACGTCTACAGCAGCGTTTGCCAAGAAGAAAGCAGAGGTAATAACATTAATGTCTAAATTGCTTCAATATTGATCTGCGAGTGAAATCCAAACTGAGCGTGCTCAATATTTACATGGATGCACTTTCCGTGCTCTCTGAAGGTTCCGCAGTCTGAGAGGCCTTTTCGGCGTCTCTCTGTGGTGGTTGTGGGTGGATCGGCTCTTCAGGAACGTAAAGTATGAAATCATAATCTTACCTTCAGTTGGTTGTGATGATAAAATGCCTCAAAGCCTTTATTATGTTTTTGGAACATTTGATGACTCAACTGCTTCAGTAAAAGACATCTGGTCTTTTTACTCTTTTGAAGTCGGTATAAATTGTGATTAGTTTTGAGGGAAAGTTTTCAAATTTAATCTGAAATTTTACCTCAGGGATTATATAAAATCTGTTAGATTAGGGCCGAACAGTGTCTTTTCTTGTCTTCTATAGCTAATCCAAGGGTCATCAGCCTCTGCAATGAAACTGACTGTGCTCTCCCCAACATGCTCCACTTCTGTGACCCCCGAGTTGTTCCAGGGCCACCCTAAATCTACCCGGTGGTCTCCCGCTAGCAGGACATGTCTAAAACAACGCCCCTGGGAGGCATCAGGAATTCTGACCAAATACCTGAACCGCCTCGACATGGAGGAGCAGCTGCTCTACTCCTAGCCCCTCCCAGATGTCCAAACTCCTCCTCCTAATGCTAAGGCTGAGCCCAGATAGCAGATAGTCCACGAAGGAAACCCACTTCAGCTGCTCCACCCTGGTGGAGGAGCTTGTGTGCACCAATGATCCAATAGGAGTGATGTTATCCAGCACACTTTAGGTGGTGCTTTCACTGTAAAAATTTCATGGTGATTTTATTGTAACTTCTCCATTTCACCGGGCCAGCCAAACGGACCATTTCCAGGCCATTTTCCCAGAACAGGGGTAGGTACCCGGAACAGCCCAGTAGGTGGTGCTGAATGGTTGTAACTCAGTAGGAAATGTTGTCGCCAAAAAAATGGCATTAGAGAAATTAGAAGAGTTGCAGTGAAACAGAATAAAAATAAGCAGCATTCACGCTACTTTAAAATTGCCGTTACTAAACTCCCAATGCTGAAAAATGAGGCGTAAATCTTCCCAAAACAACATATTTCACAGTGCATTGTTGTCTCTTAGAGCACCGTAAAAAAAAATTTACACTGCTGGTCACTGAACACCACATTTCACATCACAGCCTCTTCTGGTCCTCCGACTTAATTAAACTAAAACGTTCTTTGACAGAATAATATTTTAATGTTATTGATGTCTGCGGACGCTTTTTGGCGTTGACCAGTGATGTCACTCACTGCTGAAACAGTCATGATACACTGACATCTTAAAGTCCAGCTGGGAGGACCTAAGCCTGGGGCACACCGGAGGCATCACGTCGTTGTTTTAAACAGAAGCCATTATAGTTCATGAGTGGGCAGACAGGAAGCGCCGCGCCACATCCCAGAAGCGCCAAGGTGCTGAAGATAGGCACCAGTCCTATCTCAAGCGCCATGGCGCCACTGTTTACACCACTGTGGAGTACTTTACAACAGACATTACGACGTGGAACGGCTTTACGGCACAAACCTAACCACAGTTTTGATAACTTTACAGTACTGTTGACCTTAAAATAGTCTAATAAATGGTATACTTACCCATTTTTTATTGTATAAACAATAGAGTCACTTCGCGCTTCCTGTTCTCAAGTCCCGTGTGATGTTGTGACTATCCCGCAGGACTTTCCAAGAAGCGCTCAGCAGCGTGGCGCGTCCTGTGTGACCACCTGACTTCTCTAAACCACGGGCGTGATGCGGCGCGTCCGCCTCTGGTGTGCCCCAGGTTTTAGCGAACGTATGTCCTGGACAATTTTCCCCCACTCAGAAATATACCGGAACTCTTATAGTGGAGACACGGCGCTGGTCTTTGTCAGGTTCTCCAAACTGGGATCAGGGATCTGTAACCTTTACATTCCAAAGAGACATTTTTGCCCACAGTCCACCGGAATAGAAGTTGTTCCGAGTCGCAGCTGTGACAGCACCTTTTGAAAAAATATCCACCCTATTCTTGGCGAAACTCGTGGAGAAACGATGATGCGAGCAACATCTGGTGAAGAACCGAATGTGGCGCATACCCACTGGTTTGCATGAGGTTTTGTTGCTAGAAGCAGTTTATTTAAACATTTTAAGAGGACTTTAAAAAGTATTTACCCCCAAAAAATACTTGTGTGGCTCGGGAAGATGTCGCAGTTGTTTAAACAACCAGAGAAAATAAAATATGTGACAACAGCGATGTTTATAACATGCACCTCAGATTTTAGGATTGTCCTCCCACCCCTCTAGCGCCGTAGGCAGGAGTGTAACGGTATCCCATTTGAGCTGACAGCTGGTGTTACGTGTTCTGACTCTAAAGGCCCGTAAACAGAGGATTAGTGCGAGGGGATCGTATCGTCTCAACCAGAAGTTGGTCGCATTTTTCACGCAAAGGCTCCCGGGTTATAGGACCAAGGTGGATATTTGTCATTTTATTTTAAAAATCTACGGAAGAGGATTAGTGCCACTGAAAATAAATCTCTTTTTTGCATGATTCTGGTAGAAGCGGAAAGTGCAGAAGTGAAATCTTTTAAGAAATATGTTTGATTTCTAGATTTTCTTGACACTTTAATAAAGTCAGGACAATCTTTACTTTACACCTTTGGAAATCTTTTATTAAAAGAAATCACAAAATGTTCTAAAATGACTAAAACCAAATAAAACAGAAATTTGTTTTTCTTCAAATGGGACAAAAAGGCCTAAAGATGTGACCACAGAGCAAATAAAGACAATAAATGAATCATGGCAACAACAAAAAAATCTTCTGATTGAAGATTCAGCTTTAAATATTATCACCCTGCATCATTTTACCGAAGTCAGTTTAAATGAATTTCTTCACCTGCAGCAACACTGAAGACCAGATCTTTTCCTGTTACAGCTAACTGATGCTGGATAATGGCTCTCCTTCAATGATGATTGACGTTTGTTTAGGCTTTTATTGCCTTCCTCCTGGAAAAGCAGGAAGAAGCTCGTGTTAATGCACGCATGCCGGATGTTGGTCTCATCATGAAGAACTTACATGTTGACAGATAGTTTGCAACATCACATCGCTTCTTAAAAAATTTACAGACTAACCCTCTTCCTTGTGCTGTAAGGCTGCATGCATAATTGAGGACTGTTTGTGCTTTTGAAGATGCACCAAAGCACGGATGAGTGCAGCTTTTAACACAGCCATGATGATCTCAGAGGTTAAAGGTCAGCAGGACTTCCTCTGGTTCAGGAGAAAAATTTTTTGTTGAAGAAAACACAAAGAATAAATTATTTACGGTGCAGCGACGCCTGGAAGCATTTAACCTCCCTCTGCTCGCTGTCGTGTTTTATCAGGTTTGATTTGGCCTAAAAACTCAAACTTTAATCAAAGATCTCGGCTGTTTTATTGCATTTTACAGATTTATTTTTAATGATGAAATAATATCAAATGACACTGTTTATTTTAATAAAAGAAGATGGTTGGAAGAACATTTCAATTGCTTATTTTTATCATTTATTTGTATTAAACGCTCATTATCTCACCAGAAACGGGGTTATAAAGGAATTTGTAGTTGTTTTTTCGATGTGGGAGCCGCTTTTAATCTCTTTGTAACATATTAAAAATATATTGTGGTGCTTAGAATTGTGTATCTGCTAAAGGATTTTCCTCTGAAAGTTTTCTGATATGGCAGCAGTTCAACATACCGGCTAATTTAATTTAATTTAATTTAATTTAATTTAATTTAAAACACAAATAAAATATTATGAAATTGACTAAAAACAAATACAACAACATAAATCTATCATAAAAAACAACTAAAAATACAGAACATCAACAGTGTGACAGGATGTGGTTTTAGACTTTTTACTAAAAGCAAAACAAACTAATAAATTTATCCTATTTTATTAAAACACAGTTTGCGTTACCTGTACGGGGTTTTGCTTACTCATTTATTTAATCAATTCAAAAATTCATCAGATATGAGAAACATCAGAAAAGTCTTTTACATTTTTAGAGACATTAAAAAACAGTAATATGATATATAATATTTTATATATAATTTGCCACCTTTCTGTCAGTTTAGTCATTGCACCCAATTCTTTGCTGCGTTTTATCTTCTGAAATACGTTTGTGTGGTCTCCTCTTCAAGACCAGCACATAAAAAAGACCGCAAACCAAAGATGGGCAGCAAACAGGAAGTGATTTAGGGGGGTTCATGGTTAATGCAGATTTGATCTTCAATCATTTAACCAGCACGGCAGTCCTTTAAAAATACCCGAGCACATAAAACCTCACCCTGTTTTTATAACTTTGTTATCATCTATTATGATGCAGCCAATCAGCTGTGCTGCATTAGGTGTAATGTGATTACAACTGGGAGATGAGTTTTCTGCTGAGAGTGTAAAATCAACTACCACTTAGACCCTAATGAAGGTGATAATTTACTTAGAAGCAATAAAACTATTTTACACTATAAATCTATTTTAAATATAAATGTCCACATAATAAATATATCAGTGATATTTGTGATGTTTCTGTTTCTCTGGACATAGTATTGTGTTTAAATAATTAGAGCCGTTAAAAGAAAGATAAAGAGGTGAACTGTTTAATATTTGGAGAAAATCCAAACAAATTAGGATTTAAAAACATGAACAAGAATGCAGGAAATAAATGATTAAGGAACATATAAAAGCATCTAGGTAAACAATTACAATAATATCCATTTAGTATAATTTAGTTTTCCGTCTCTGCGTGATTAATTTCTAGTATTTGCGATCAAAAAGCCTTTAGAACGACAGCTGTCGTTTGTCAGTTTGGCCACCAGAGGGCGCTCTGGGATTACGTCCCTTGCGTGAGTCAAAAGGGCGGAGCCAACATGGCGCCTGTAAATATCCTACCTCTGCTGTTTTGTTTATCTTTGGTGTCATTGCCAATCAGAGCCGATATTTTTTTATCTGAACCTTGTTATAAACCCATTAAAGACGATGACAGACCGGACTCAGTCAGGTGAGTGAACACTGAACACGTCACTTCCTGTGGTAACGTCAGATCTGTAGTTGTTTACCTGGTAAATCCCTAGTTTTGATATTTGAGTACTTTTAAGGCTTTTTAGCTTCTTCAGTTCCACAAAAGCTTGATATGTTTGTCTTAAAATTTACAAGATTTTCTTGCTAAGTTTTCTTGAAGAATATTTTTCGGAAGTTTTTTCAGATCCAGTTTATGTACCTGATCGTTTTTTTAAACGAATCTTTTATTTATTCAAGCTACTTCGTACATGTTTATGAGTAAGAGACATTAATCAAATCATCAACAAAGTTGTGCACACTTTAGGCACGTGAAGTAATATAATACATAGAAAATTTTTAAGTGAAAAATATCTGTGCATCATCTAATGGAGTTGCAACATTTGTACTCATCTATTATGATGTCTATCATTTAATGTTATGAGCTGTTATATGTGTTGCTTTTTATTTAGCAAAATTAATTTCAACTCTTTCTAGCTGCAGCTTAGGAGCAGCTGGTTTTCTACTGCCAATGCTGATGCCGATATGCGGAAGGAATGTTCAGCCGATTACAGATATGTGCTGCCGATGTTTTGGGGCTGATATCTGGATGTTTTCCTCATTATTTGTATTCAATTCAACTGTGTTTATATAGCGTCAAATCACGACAAGAGTCGTCTCAAGGCACTTCACACAGTAAACATTCCAATACAGGTCAGTTCATTAAGCCAATCAGTAAAAAGTGTCCTATATAAGGAACCCAGCAAATTGCATCAAGTCACTGATTAGTGTCAGAGTCTTTACAGCAATCCTCATACTAAGCAAGCATGCAGCGACAGTGGAGAGGAAAACTCCCTTTTAACAGGAAGAAACCTCCAGAGGATCCTGGCTCAGTATAAGCAGCCATCCACCACGACCCACTGGGGATCGAGAATGCTAAAATATCACTAAAACCATTTTAAAACACTGAATTTAATCTAAATCTTAATTTAGAGCACTGCTCAGTGTTAAAGTCGGACATTAATTAAAATTAAGCAAACAACTCATTTATTTGACAAAGTTTTAAATATTCATATATATGTTTCTTGCTCACTTTAGGACACGGGCCCGACCACACGAGTACCTAAACGTCTCGGATCTTCCTCCATCGTGGGACTGGAGGAACATCAACGGGAGGAATTATGTGAGCGTCACAAGGAATCAACACATCCCTCAGTACTGTGGCTCCTGCTGGGCCATGGGAGCCACCAGTGCTTTGGCAGGTAACCATGGCAACAGAAGCAAAGAGAGAGGAGGAAATTAAGCAAACTTATTTTTAAATGATTTTATAGCATCCTTTCTGCAAGAAAGAATCATGTCAACTGCCGGTACTGTTCCTGTTTAATTGTAAATGAGTTATTATTATTATTATTATTATTATTATTGTTGTTGTTGTTGTAAAGACAGAGTCAACATCCAACGTGGGGGAGTGTGGCCGTCAGCCTACCTGTCAGTGCAGAACGTGATCGACTGCGGGAGGGCAGGTTCTTGCTACGGAGGGGACCACCTGAGAGTTTACGCATACGCACATAAAGAAGGCATTCCTGATGAAACTTGCAACAACTACCAAGCTAAAAACCAAAGTAAGAGATGTGTTGATCTCAGCCTTGCACTAAATTACACGACCATTTACACGGAGATATTTTTATCTTTGCTTAAGTCTAATTCTGATTTTTGAATCATGGGGACATTAAAAAGCAGCCTTGTGTTGTCACATAACAGGCAGTTTGGTAAAGGACTGATTTTTTTTTTTTTAGCATTTCTCTAGTTGTATCTATGAAAGAATACCAGACATAACATAAAATAGTATTTTAAACCAACATGGGTGTTTTCAAAGAGCTAATTGCTGAAAATCTGCCAAACAGATGATGATCAGCTGATGAAGGATGCAGCTTTCAGCTCCTAGCTTAGGCCTTTTCTGAGTTTTTTGTCTGGCATGTTGTGATCTGTGGGGGAAACCAGAGTATCCGGAGGAAACCTACTCATGCACGGGGAGAACATGCAACTCTACGCAGAGAGACCGCAGCCGAGTTTTGAACCTGCAACTTTCTTGCTGCGAGGCAGCAGTGATAACAACTGTGCCATCACGCAGCCCAGTCAATCTACGTTCCTACCCTCACCTATGGTCACGGATACAAGCTGCCTAAATGATTTTCTCTGCTGGGTAGGCTGGGCTCTCCCTTAGAGATAGGATGAGAGGCTCAGTCAGCTGGGAGGGGCTCAGAGTAGACCCGCCGCTCCTCCATGTTGAGAGGAGCCAGTTGAGGTTGCTCGGGCATCAAGTTAGGATGCCTCCTAGATGCCTCCCTGGTGAGGTTTTCCAGGCACGTCCAACTGGGAAAAGACCACCCTGGTGGTGATGAGCTACAGTGTAGCCACAGCTGCCCTGGGGCACACTGACAGAGGCGGCACCGGTCCCTCCGAGCACCACCAGCAGGCAAGGTGGGTAAAGTGTCTTGCCCAAGGACACGACAGCAACTGACTGAGCAGGGTTTGAACCTGCAACCTTCCGATTACAGGGCGAGTGTTTAAATCCTGCACCACTGTTGCCCCACTGTCGGGGTCACAGACCTTTTTTCATTTTGTCCTTTTGTCCTTGTTAAGCACCAACTGCACTACTAATTGTCGTAGTGAAGAAGAGGACTGAAGTAAAAAAGGAGCAAAAACAGCCCGAAAATATTTTTGTAAGATCATTTAAAAAGAACATGGGAATGTCTGGCTCCTCAGAGGCAAAGGAAAAAGATTCGAGGAGCAGTTTGAAGCTCTTTGGTCTGTTCGTATGTGCGTGATGGCTCAGCGTGGTACATCAGTTCAGCTGCTGCTCAGAGCAGAGACCTTAGTCTTCTCACTCATCCGCTGACTCAGATGCTGCTGTGACTGCAGTAAAAGAAAAACAATAGGACAAAGATGGTCTCTGGGATAAAAACTAGTGTTCATTTTCTGTATAAAGATTATAATCTAAAAGCACATGGTGGTGAAGGTTCTCAGTCATCCAGGTCATGGTAATCCAAAAGGGTTCGAATCAAGGCAGCTGGACTTCTTTGGATTCTTGAAGACGTTTCACTTCTCATCCGAGGAACTTTGTCAATACTAACTGGAATACAGGTCCTTCTCAAAAAATAGCATATTGTGATAAAGTTCATTATTGTCTGTAATTTCCTGATAAACATTAGACTTTCATATATATTAGATTCATTACACACAACTGAAGTAGTTCAAGCCTTTTATTGTTTCTAATATTGATGATTTTGGCATACAGCTCATGAAAACCCAAAATTCCTTTCTCAAAAAATTAGCATATTTCATCCGACCAATAAAAGAAAAGTGTTTTTGATTTAAAAAAAAAGGTCATCCTTCAAATAATTATGTTCAGTTATGCACTCAATACTTGGTCGGGAATCCTTTTGCAGAAATGACTGCTTCAATGCGGCGTGGCATGGAGGCAATCAGCCTGTGGCATTGCTGATGTGTTATGGAGGCCCAGGATGCTTCGATAGCGGCCTTCAGCTCATCCAGAGTGTTGGGTCTTGCGCCTCTCAACTTTCTCTTCACAATATCCCACAGATTCTCTATGGGGTTCAGGTCAGGAGAGTTGGCAGGCCAATAGAGCACAGTAATACCATGGTCAGTAAACCATTTACCAGTGGTTTTGGCACTGTGAGCAGGTGCCAGGTCATGCTGAAAAATGAAATCTTCATCTCCATAAAGCTTTTCAGCAGATGGAAGCATTAAGAGCTCCAAAATCTCCTGATAGCTAGCTGCATTGACCTTGCCCTTGATAAAACACAGTGAACCAACACCAGCAGCTGACATGGCACCCCAGATCCTCACTGACTGTGGGTACTTGACACTGGACTTCAAGCATTTTGGCATTTCCGTCTGCCCAGTCTTCCTCCAGACTCTGGCACCTTGATTTCCGAATGACATGCAAAATTTGCTTTCCTCTGAAAAAAATACTTTGGACCACTGAGCAACAGTCCAGTGCTGCTTCTCTGTAGCCCAGGTCAGGCGCTACTGCCGCTGTTTCTGGTTCAAAAGTGGCTTGACCTGGGGAATGCGGCACCTGTAGCCCATTTCCTGCACACGCCTGTACATGGTGGCTCTGGATGTTTCTACTCCAGACTCAGTCCACCGCTTTTGCAGGTCCCCCAAGGTCTGGAATCGGTCCTTCTTCACAATCTTCCTCAGGGTCCGGCCACCTCTTCTTGTTGTGCAGCGTTTTCTGCCACACTTGTTCCTTCCCACAGACTTCCCACTGAGGTGCCTTGTTACAGCACTCTGGGAACAGCCTATTCGTTCAGAAATTTCTTTCTGTGTCTTACCCTCTTGCTTGAGGGTGTCAATGATGGCCTTCGGGACAGCAGTCAGGTCGGCAGTCTTACCCATGATTGCAGTTTTGAGTAATGAACCAGGCTGGGAGGTTTTAAAAGCCTCAGGAATCTTTTGCATGTGTTTTGAGTTAATTAGTTGATTCAGATGATTAGGTTAATAGCTCATTTAGAGAACCTTTTCATGAAATGCAATTTTTTTGAGATAGGAATTTTGGGGTTTTCATGGGCTGTATGCCAAAATCATCCATATTAGAAACAACAAAAGGCTTGAACTACTACAGTTGTGTGTAATGAATCTAATATATATGAAAGTCTAATGTTTATCAGGAAATTACAGACAATAATGAACTTTATTACAATATGCAAATTTTTTGAGAAGGGAGCATCAAGTTTACATTAAATAAGGGCAGCAGTAGCTCAAGAGGTAGAGTGGGTTGTCCAGTAATCAGAAGGTTGCAGGTTTGAACTTGGCTTCAACCAAAGAATGCTGCTGTTGTGTCCTTGGGCAAGACACTTAACCTTCCTTGCCTGCTGGTGGTGGTTGGGGGAACTGGTAGTGCCTGTGCTCGGCAGTCTCGCCTCAGTTAGTGTACCCCAAGGCTGCTGTGGCCTGATCTCATCACCACCAGCATGAATGTCTGATTGTGTTGTGAAGCACCTTGGGGGGTCGTGGAACCCTAAGAAGGTGCTTTACAAATACAGGCCATTTACCAAATACATTAATTAGAGGAAGAGGCCTTGGGTTTCATCTTTCCAGCATCTACAATGCAGCTTTAAACCTAAACCCAAAACAGTTTCAGTCCAGGTCACCTCCCTCCTGCATCTAATCAAAACAACCATTCCCACACAATAAAACCCAATGACTCCTCAGGGAGTAGGTAGGAGGGGTATTCATTAGTAGTTTCAGCTCTTTAAGCAACAACAGTAACTGTTTATAAGCTGGACTCCCCCATATTCCTGTCAGAATTGACAAAGCTCCTTGAATGAGAAGCAAAACGTCTTCAAGAAACCAAAGAAGTCCAATTGTCTTCATTCGAGCCTCTTTGAATTATCTAAAAGAAGTTAACGGTTAAAATGTTTGACTCGTTCCAGAGTGCGAGCAGTTTAATCAGTGTGGAACCTGCTCCTTCTTCCAATCCTGCGCTGTTGTCAGGAACTACACTGTGTGGAAAGTTGGAGACTATGGAGAAGTTTCTGGAAGGGACAAGATGAAGGCTGAAATTTACACCAACGGGCCCATCAGGTAGATCAGCATAGTTTCCTTCATTTAGCTTTGTTTTAATAGACCTGCAGGCATTCTCTTGCTGGAGCAAAATACACAATGTCTCCTAATCGGAGGGATTTTATTTAATTAAGTAATTTTTAAAGCTTTTGAGTTAAAGTTAAATAAATACTAAAATTTTTCCAGTGCCTTTGATGTTTTTTTTTCTAAGGAAAAGTCTGCATTTTACACTTTTTTAAATTCATAAAATTGTATTGAAGTAAATTTGGTTTCAAATATGTTTTAATTAATTTTCTGTACCACTTTAGATTTTGAAACGTTCCCATTTTTATTTACTTTCTGCAGGTCAGTAAGTCACAGTGAGTAGATGTAGGACAAATAAGATCAATGCCCACAGGAAACGGGTGGAGAGGGGAATTAATCACGATTAACTCACAAATTCGGGCTCTGCAAGGCAGGAGATCCTACAACGGTTACACAGATTTAAAACATGCATGGGATGAATCAGAAGACAACCTTTAATGACCATCAACTAAAAGAATGGAGCAAAAAACACAAGATTAATTAACGTGTGGAAGTCGGTGAGTCCATTTAGAAATAAGTGATGAGTCATGGGTGGGACTGACAGCAGCAGCATCCAGGGACATGAGGAAGACCAAACTAGACGTGTAAACTCTTTCCTCTCCTTTTAGCTGTGCCCTGATGGCAACTAAAGGCCTGGAGAAATACTCTGGAGGACTCTTCTCAGAGTTTCACCCGCTCTCTGTGCCGAATCACATCGTCTCGGTAGCTGGCTGGGGCGTAGACCAAGACGGCAGCGAGTTCTGGATCATCAGGAACTCTTGGGGAGAGTTCTGGGTTGGTTTTTATTTCACACCACGACCTGCCTGCTGTCAGAAACATCAGCTGTATTCATATATAAATGAACCCTCTGAGCTATATAAATTGATATATTTATTTTGGTGTGTGCTGCAGTGGGGAGTATTTTTTAGCTACGTCGGCTTTCTCAGATTGCAGAATGACTAAGGAGACGTTGTGTTTCATGCTTTCAGGGAGAACACGGATGGGCGAGGATCGTTACTAGCGCCTACAAAGGAGGAAAAGGCAACTGGTTCAACTTAGGTGTTGAGAAGAACTGTGCATATGGAGACCCTGTTGTTGCGCACACTCCTGGTTACAGTGATATTTGAATTAGCTGATGTTATTTTCTGAAGAAAAACAATCTCAAGACATCTTAGATTAAGATGTTTGACTGTATCATAATAGTCATATGCTGTTAGAGATTTTTGCTGTAAAGTAGACACTGATTGTGAGATTCAAGCTTCAAAATGTGTACCTATGCTCTCCATCTGAATGCCTTTTCATGCATAGAATCAGTAAATGGCACCAGCAGCTGGAACAGATGACCTGCTGCACATTCTGCACTAGAAAAAAAATTCTGCCATTTCTGTCTGTTCAGGTGCATAATCACACTTTTCACTCAGGGAAACTGTTCCCTCTTAACAGCAGGTGAGCCGCGTCGCTCACAGTTTCAATTTGATGAAACGGCGACGGCAGGTATCAGGATTACTGAGCTGTTTCAGATCACCGAGCATCTGCACAAATGGCTCATAATGAGTGAGTATCTGAAGGGTGGCCAGTCAGAATTGTTTAACTTAAAAAAGAAAAACTCCAGTTGCGTCCTGAACTCGATGTGACTGCTTTTAGTTGGTGTGCAGATGAGATACAGTTTTGGGGTTGGGTTAAACTCTATGGAGGGTTTGTGGAGGGAGAGATTGGGTTTGTTTTTATCTATAAAGCAGATAGAAGATTTTAGAGAACTTTTATTATTAAATTCACGATGGATGTGTGAAAAAGACATGTTAAAAAATTGTCGTTGTTCCAATAAAACGAACCAACAGGTTTGAGCACGAAGCAGCTTTTTGATGAGAGAAGTGCAGAAATGGTTTCTTCATGTGAATCTGTGGGGAAGATTTTAAAAATAACCCTACAGGTTTTATCAGCAAGCTGCATTCTGGGAAACTCAGGAGCCAGTGTTTCAGGAAGTAACTCACTTGAGAGTTAAAGAAGATTTCTCATCTTCAGCTGCAGATTAAAGAGAGCTGATCCCGAAGGAAAAGCTCTCGATTTACGGGTCGATCTACATTCCTACCCACACCTATGGTCACCAGCTTGGTGAACGAAAGAACAAGATCACGGATACAAATGGCTAAAATTAGATAGGGTGAGAAGCTCGGTCATCCGGGAGGGGCTCAGAGTAGACCTGCTGCTCCTCCACATCGAGAGGAGCCAGTTGAGGTGGCTCAGGCATTTAGTCAAGATGCCTCCTGGACGCCTCCCTGGTGAGGTTTTCCAGGCATGTTCAACTGGGATGAGGTCCAAGGGAAGACCCAGGATGTGCTGGAGGGACTATGTCTCTCACCTGGCCGGGGAACACCTTGGGATTCCCCCAGAGGAGCTAGCCCAAGTGACTAGGGAGAGGGAAATCTGGGCCTCTCAGCTTAGGCTACTGCCCTCGTGATCCGAACCCAGATTAGCGGCTGAAAATGAAAGGGTGCTGCAGATTTCTTCTTTTATCACCTTATGAGTTTTGTATTTATCACTCTCTGAACTCTATAATCTGTTAGTTTGTTAGTGCTTTTAATCAAGTTTAATGGGGAACCTATTAAGACAGTTCTACGGTCTACATTTATAAAGTTCTTTGCACAAAATTTCTCACATAAAGCAATTTCAGCTGTTTTACTGGCATTTTCAGTACCTTCCAGAATGAGCCATTCACTTTGAAGATCAAGTTTTCTCATATTTTAATACATTTACAGTGGTCTCTAGTAGGAATTAATGTCTTGTAAGACATTCTCGGGGGAATAAAGCTCTGGTGTGCCCGTTTTAGGGCGGAGATGTCTGCTGGAGGAGAAAGGGGCAGAAGATGGCACAATTTGGAGTCCTATTTCCTGATATTTAGACATCTCTAATCTGATTGGCTAACACTAACACAACTCTACCCTTAACTCTTTTTGCTCTGCAACTTTGTTTTATCTCCACAAATAACACAAGCCTGAAGGAGTCCTGCCATGTGGTGGAGTTGCTAATGCCAATTGTTAGCTTCTACTAGTCAGGATGTGCTCTTCTGTTTCCTGGACACTAAAACAACAGTCATGAGTCAGAAAGGTGTGTCTGTAAAGGGTAAGGAACAGTGTAACATAGATCTGGCAGGCTTTCTGAACTGAGCATTTTTTGTTTATTTTCTATCAGAAGCTAATACAAGAGATAGGTGTAGGAGACTATTTTCATGTTGAGCCTGCATGAAGGGTGACTGATATTTTTTTTTAAATAGCGGTGAGTAAAAAATGGTTTCTCAGTGAAGTTGATCTTTGAAAAAAAACAAGCTGGAGCATGCCATGCCCACCCATCTCTTGATAGACTGCTATAGGCTGAGAAGCTCCAATATCTGGGGCTCAGAGAAAAGCATCTGCTGGAAAAACGTCTCTCTTGCACGAGAGAGGTGATTCTACAGGTGAACGTGGAAAAATAAGAATATGGTGCAAAAGTCAATTTCAGTAATTCAACTGAGAGACCATCTAAAGGCAGGAACCCTTTACAGGTGTTTTTGATTCATTAGCTGATTAGAGTGTGAATATTCTTTCTGAGATTTAGAGTTTTGGATTTTCATAAGCTGTAAGCCATAATTATCACAATTATAATAAATAAAGGCATGAAATATCTGGCTTTACATGGAAAACTATCTCATATATTAGTTTAACCTTTTAAATCAAATGAATGAAAGAAATCAACTTTTGCATCATAATTCTAATTTTTGAGTTTCACCTGTAATTTCTTTTACAGCTTATTTTAGGCACATAATTCCAAAAACCTAATGCGACACAAAATTGATGAACATGTTTTTTTTAACGTTTGGAGTGTTTAGGCAGGAGAGACCCACATGGTGACAAAAAGGGAGAAAACTTTATGAGTCCTACAACTTTTTTTTATTCAACATATTTTTAGGATTTTTCATGCAACCCTAATCCAAATGGAAATTATAAAAATGTAATTTAATCCATGTGTGAAGTTGAATAAACTACAACTCTTCTTATTCACCAAGCTAAAACAAAGTAAGCCTACACTGAAAACTCGTGAGTTTTATCTGTGTACCACAAGCTTTCAACATTTGGATCCTGTTTTGAAATCACTAGTTAAGTAAAAACCAAACTCTAGCTTCCTGAACACGTGCTCTAGCACAGTTAAATATCTGTAACATCTTAAAAGTATTCCACTTTTCACTTAAAAGCCTTTTTTTCCTCTACTGAAACAATCAGAGCAAATAATCCTGCAGAAATTAAATAATCTATTGAACCTTTGAGACAAATTCAATATAATTCAGAATAGAAGTCCAAATGTATTTCAGTAAAACTCTGGAGAGTGAATGAAAACCATACTCCCAGCATGGCCACTACCCAGCATGTTTTAATTGTTTCCCTGCTCCAACTCACTAGAATCACCTGTTTAGAAGCTCATCAAGTTCTGCAGAAGCCTGTTAATCACCTGCTGATTAAATCCAGGAGTGCTGAAGTAGGGAAACAACTAAAACATGCAGGATAGTGGGCAGCCCTCGAGGACCAGGACTGTCCAAACCTGAAACCACTGAGGGTACCCGGTCATCCGGGATCCAGCAAGTCTGAACAAAGACAGCTGGGTCCCCGTTTTTAAAACTTCTCTGAAGATTTTTTCACTTGTCATCCTTGGAGCTTTTCTCAGTTAAAAAAATAATATATATATTTTTTTCACTTCAATTTAAAAGCATGGAGCTCAGCGTTTTTCATTTGGAATTGAGGAAGCTCCATAGAGGAGAAGTGAACTTTTCTTTTGTCGTTAGAAAAATAGAAAAACCAGTTCGTTTGAACTTACTGGGAAGATCACAGAGTGTTTGATAGGATTTCCATTATGTCATATAAGTTCCTTCAAAAGTCATTTTCTCACTCTGAAAAAAACCTTTGAAGAAGTTCTAGAGTGGGACATTTCACTCCTCATCCTCAAGGGCCACTACCTGCATGTTTTAGCTGTTCTCCTGCTCCAACACACCTGCTTCAATGATTGCATCACCTCTTCAGCAGCTCTGCTAAAGTCTGTTAATCACTCAAACCAAGTGTGTTGGTGCAGGGAAACAACTGAAACATATGCATTTGTGGCCCTCGAGGACCAGATTCTTGCGTTTTCAGCAGGTCACCAAGCTCCGTAGAAGTCGTTCAAAAAGCTAATGTTTAAAATCATTTGTTGAGGCAGAGAAATCTCAATAATTCAGAGATTTCTCAGCTTGAACACGCCTGTTCAGGACCCTGACATACATTTTTGTTAAACTGATTTTATAAAGCAGCCTCTCCGTGTTTGTGTCTCCTTCTCAGTGACCTAGTGGTACGAGTGGTCCACCTTGGGACTAGGAGAATAGGGTTCAAATATCAGTTGGGTCATACCAAAGTATAAAATGGGACCCAATGCCTTCCTACTTAAGCTTTAACCCTCTCAGGCTCAAAATAAGTTTTGAAAAAAGGAAGAACAACTAAGTCCTTTAGGAGTACTTCTGAGATAAAAAATGCTTATGAAATACGTGTGTGGAGTAACCAGGTAGATAGGTTTTAACGTTGCAAATCTGCAACGCCTGCCTCCAGAGGGTTAAGGGGTTGGATTGGGGAGTTGGGTTAAACCATCAAATAGTTCCAGAGCACAGCCAGTGCTGCCCCATCCCCATGGGGATGTCCACCCTGGGACTATAGGAGACCCAGTCAAATGAGAAGATGTAATTTCACCAGCGAGTGATGATGGAACTAACAAAGGTTTCTGCAGAGCTTCTCTGCTTGCTAAACAGGTCATTCAACCATTGATTCAGGTGTGTTGGAGCAACTAAACCACTACAACATGTGGGTTGGGACCCTTCAGGAGTGGATTTTAACAGCTGACAGGGGTGCCCAATCCTGGTCCTGGAGGGCTTGTGTCCAGCATGTTTTCAGATTCAGATTTCAGATTCAGATTTCAGATTTATTGGCCAAGTAAAATTACATTTACAAGGAATTTGTCTTCGGTAGATGTTCGCTCTCTAAAACATACAACAACCATAATAAATGAAGAATAAAAATACCTAAAAACACATAAGAACATGTATACCCACACACATGTTCATTTACGCACACACCTATATACATATATACATACCCACACACACACGCACGCACACACACACACACACACGCACACACACACACACACACACACATATCCATAAGCATACTGATTAAGTATTAAAAACTATAGTAAAAGGATGGTAAAAGAATCTACAGATTCAGGAGAGAAATGGCTGAAGGAAAGAAACTGTTCTTGTGTCTGGTAGTTTTTGTGTACAGTGATCTATAGCGTCTGCCAGATGGGAGGAGATGGAAGAGAGTAGATGCAGGATGTGTGGCATCTTGGACAATATTCACTGCCTTTTTCCTGGTCCTGCTGATGTACAGTTCCTGGACAGAGGGCAGTTTAGTTGTTTCCCTGCCCCAGAAACACACCTAATTCAAGGGTTGAATCACCCATGCAGCAGGTCAAATTCTAAAGTCTGTTTAAGGAACAATCTGTAGTTTTTATCGTTAATCTCTGGAAATATCCAATAAAACGTTGTTGACAATTTAATGGAACCCAGTTATTGAAAAATATTGGCAGTTTCATAACATATAACCATAAAAATCAGGTCTAAAATACATGGGAGCGGGTCAGGGCAATGCCAAATTAGATGCCATGTTTCCTTTTACGAGAGACCGTGAGGACAAAAACATGTTCACTGATTTGTGACAAACAAAACAAACAGAACTTTCCCCATTCATAAACGTTGTTCTTCACTCGTGGCCAGTGTCAAAGGGAGTGATGTGATGTCATTTTGCTGGAGGTTGACCGATGAGGTTGACCCTAATAGCGATCCGTTAGTAAGTTCTTACTTGAACAAAAAAAATACTGCTTGCTTGTAACGATTTATGTATATACTGCCCCCTATCGCCAGGGGAAATACACACCATCACTTTAATCACCAGCTGATTGAAATAAGGGCAGGTTGAAGCAGGGAAACAACTACAACATGCTGGACCCTTCAGGACCAGGATTGGGCACCCCTGTTCTAGAAGATTCAACCACCACAAGAAACCTTTTATTCAAAGGATCTAAAACACTGATTTACCTTTTCTCCTGGACATAACGTTGAATGTTTCAAGACTTAAAATATGCCGACTGCACTTTTGCGATAAAACTTTTAAATGATTTGAATTTTATAAAGATTAAGAGAGTAGATGTATTTGTGCCGAGATCCTGCAACATGAGGAGTCTGCAGCTGAGATTCTGCACATCTGGAGAGGAGCCGTTTAACGTCAACACCCTTTTCAAAAACCAAACTGAGTGTTCGTGATCCCACTCCAGTCACGAGGAGCGTTCCCTCCAGTAATTCTGCTTCAGAGCCTCTTTGTGCTGCTGCTCTGATCCTAGCCGTTTCCACCCAGCTTGTGTACAAGATTTGTGCAGATCTGATTAATCTACTTCCTTTTTTTAACTGGTAATAGGAACCATGCCACCAAACCGACTAGTTAAACATTCCGGCATAATTAGAGGAAGATCATTAGACACAAAGAGCTGCACTCAAACAGTCTGAAGCTGATTAGATTTATTCTCTAAATCACTTAATCTCATTTGTTCCATAGCTGCTGTCTCCTTTCTATCTGGGCATTTTTTCAGTTTACTGATCTCTGATCAGATAATTGTCGATTAAAAGAATATTTTATTCGATTAGGACTTGTGTTTACATTTTTAAATAAGCTTTAGCTTATTTTTGGTCACTCTAGCCTCACAGTCAAACACCAGCATGTTAATACTAACATAACAGGAAGTAGCTTTCGCTGTCAAAATAAAATACCAACGCTCTGCAAACAAAATGTGGATTATGAGAAGCATTTTATGAATCGGAATATCATGAAGTAGCTGTAAAATTTAATCCTGCTCTAATTTGCTACTCTTTATTTTGAGTTTTTTTGCATTTTCTTTTAGATTGCATCAGTTTATAGTCAACTGAAGTTTTTTTTTAATATTTTACTAATAAAACAAAAAATAAAAGCCTCTAAAAAACTACTTCCACAATAATTTAAAGATAAAAGTTTTCTGAATGAAAGAAAAAAACAATGACTCCATTGATTTGTAGACATAAGTAGCTACTTATATGAATCATGCCAGTTATTCTCTAGATGGCACATTATACTATTTATTTGTGCGAACAGTACAAACTGTTCATTGAGGTACAAATACAAGAAAATTGGTAGGCAGATTTTATTCCAATCAGGGAAAAAAATCTTGTTATTTTTCTATGAACATTCCCTGAGTTGTATGTCAGTAACCTGTGCTGGGCTTTTTTAAATTTTTTATTTATTTATTTATTTTTTTTTAATGGAGCTCTTTCTGACTTTGCATAAATTAACAAATAATTAACTCAATGACGTCAGTAACGAAAGTGCTTTGTTTATGGACACTGACCTTCAAAATATGTCACTAATCCAGAAATAGTCTGACAAGAAGTGAAGCAGTTTACAAATGACGTTGTAGCAAAGAGGCACAGATTGGGCCCAGGTTTTACAACTGTAAAATAAAAATGAAGTTGCTGCATTTTAAGCCTTAGACACGTTGAGATTAGATAACAGTATTCATTTATCTATGACTTTCTCGTAGCACTGACTGGAAGCATCAGCGGCCATGAAAAGAAAACGGACATTTTGTCGTTTTTGCCACTGGTAATAAAGAACAGCGTAGACAGAGAGAGGATGAAAGTCACGAGGGAGCTGAGAAGCAGGATGAAAGAGAGAAGGAGGAGTTGGTTGGAGAGGAACCAGAGAGGTCAGAGACTGTCCACCTGAGAGTGAGGAGGAAGATGTAGGCTGTGAGGGAGAGAGTGAGGAGCAAAAAGAGGGACATCTTCTGTCATGTGCACCGTGAACACTACCGTCAGGTTTGTGGGTGTTGAACAACCCCCTCTGTGATTGCAGCTCATATTGTGTGTAAAATGCATTTGAGGCATGCTGACTCTGGACCAAAATTTCTGTGGTTTATATTTAATAAATAGATAAAATAAGACTCTGAATTAACTAATTATGACTTTTATGTTCATGCTAACATTTATTTTTTTCAGATATCAGCAAGTGTAAGGATGACCCACCTACTCAGCCTCATTTGAGGACATTTCCAGTGACATTAATAGGAGACAGAAGACGCAGCTTTCAGCAAGGCTGGTATGAAAGTCATCCTTGGGTTGAATATTCTGTTACTATGGACTCTACTTATTGTCATGCATGCAGACATTTTAGCTCACCATGTAGCGCAGGAAGTGTGTTTGACTCACCATGTGGATTTAGGAACTGGAAAAAAGCAACTGAGAGAGGAGGGGGTGTTTTGGTACATGCAAAGTCTGAAAGGCAAAAGGATTCAGTGATAGTGTGGTGGGACTACCAGAGGGCTGTGGAAGCTAATACAACATTGGCTAATATACTCAACAAGGAACACAGTAAAAGGTTAAAGAAAATCGTGAGTATATCAAAACAGTTGAAGTGATTTTGCTTACAGCCTGGCAAAACATAGCACAGAGAGGACACAATGAGTCGAGGAATCAAATAACAAAGGCAACTTAAGGGAAATTCTTGATATGGTTGCAAATCATGATCCAGCATCATGGCAGATGAGACTACAGATGTTTCAAAGAGACAGCTCGTTTGCATTTTACATCCACTGCAGTGCCCACCATTTGCGGTCAACAAAAACTACGGCTGCCCAGTCCTCCTGGCTGTCAAAATCACCCGGTGACAGAATGACGGCTCCCTTTAATTCAGACCACCCACACCCACGTGACCCTTATAGAAATTATATTTTCTTCTTCTTCTTCTTCTTATTGACAACAAAAGGGGAAATAAAAATGGAAACCCAGTAATCAACTCACCAAGAAATATTATGGCTCCTACAGAAGTATTTTGGTTGAATTTTAGTGAAAATAATTGATTCAGCATCGAGGTAAATAAACCTTCAAAATAAAACGATTTGATTGCCAAGTAGGCCTACGTGAAAAGGTTAGCGTTTTGTTGTTTTATTTTTTGAAAACCCGTTCCGGAAGTGTTGTTTCTAGCTTGACCGTTGAGCCTACACGGCGGCTCGCGGATGCTCGGCGCTGCTTCCTTCCTCCGACAGAAAAGGCGGCAGAGGCCGTGTTAAACTTTCATCACCTCCCTCTGTTGGATCCTCCGAACTCGACCGGACCAGCCTGGTTTTATTTTTCTGATCTGACGCCTCGTGCAGTGTAACCATGAGCACCACGCGACCGGAGACCTGAACCTCCAGGTCGGGACCAAGGGAGGTAGAAGATGCCTCATGCGTCGCTCCATCACCGCCAGTGCGCCAGTTCAGGGCATCCCAAACGCCGAATAACACAGAAATGCCGCGGTTTAGCGTCAAATCGGTGGTCGCTGTGCTGCTAATCGTGGTGGTCGGGGGCGCGTTCTTCTTCTGCGAGTATCTCATCTACTTCCCGGCCATCTTCAGGTGCGCTTGGCCGAAGCTCAGCCATGCCTGGGGCGGAGAGGGTATGGACGGGCAGCCGGTGGACTCACCGGTCCACGCCATGGTTCTGTCGGACACGCACCTCCTCGGAGCCGTGGGGGGACACTGGTTCGACAAGCTGAGGAGGTAACCGGTTCGTTTCTCTTAATAATCATGTCGGGCTCTGCGGGCGTGATTGTAAACAAAAGCAACAACAAATAAACAAAGCTGTCTTGTTGCGTCTAAAATGCAGGGAATGGCAGATGGAGAGGGCTTTCCAGACCGCGCTGTGGCTCCTTAAACCAGAAATCGTCTTCATTCTCGGGGACATCTTCGACGAAGGCAAGTGGAGCTCGCAGAAGGTAACGCCGTTTTCCTCCTTTGTCGTCTTGTCTGCTCGGGATGCTTGTGATGGGGCTCGGGTCTGCTGCGGAGACGCAGGCCGGGTCTAATCAGCACTTCACCGTCTGGTGTAAACATCTGCACCGTGTTGTCAACTGAGCCAATCCGGGTGATGAATAAGAAAAACTAAATAAATCCACCGATTTATGTTCCTGCAGGCTGACTGCTTCACTTATTTTACAAAAGAAAGGAACAAAATAACACAAACTGCCTGAATCCCTCTGGTTCTGATGTTTGGATCAATCATCAACACTCAAAAATGAAACCTTAAAGCATCAAAACTTCTGATATAATCTCACAATTTGGCGTTTTAAAAGAAAAAGATAGTGAGTTGGGTTATGAAAAATAATCAGGTGGTAAATCAGAAATGTAAACAGAAAATGTGCATTTGGTAATTCAAACTTAGAAAATGATGTGAAGCTTCAGATCCTGAAACACAAAAACCTCAAAGTGTCGGGACTGGATTCTGAGCTTGTTTTTGAACTTTTTTACGAGGATTCTTGATATTGTGACAGCAAACAATCCTCTAAATTTGTTTTGTGTGTTTATTCAGCCAAAACTCTAAACAAAGTCATCTTAAAAGGAAACAAAGCATATGAGATTATCAGTTTTTGCCTGATCTGGTCTCAAACCTCGACTCTGTCTGCAGCACTGGGAGGACGACGTGCGCCGGTTCCACAGGATGTTCAGACACTCCCCCGACACAGAACTGGTCGTACTGGTTGGCAATCATGACATCGGCTTCCATTATGAGTAAGAACAAACCTAATCCTTTGCCTCTCCCCTCTTTTGTTACCTTTAGAGGGAAGAAAGCATCCAAACATTCTGATGAACCTTTTTTTTAATCCACTTGGCTGCGTTGGCTTTCTTAGTGTCACTATTTACAGAAACAAACACCTCGTTCTGCTTCAATGCAGAAAAGGAGACCGAACCGGTTTGTCCACCTTATGTAACCTCTACAGAAATATTTAACACGTGAGCCGGCCGGGTGGAATTCAGCTAGATAACAAGGAGATAGGTGTGGGAGAAAAGGCTGACCCACTGGATCAACAAATAAACGACTGATTTATATTTAACAGGAGACCTATGGGTTGTGTGACATCAGCCACCCCGCTGCACAAAAGGGATTTATCTAAAAAAATCTTACATAATTATAGTTTATTTAAATAATGCATCAATGTATGACTGCACCTTCATGTTCCACAGCAGATGGAGAAAACACAGGTGCTAACGAGGACTGCCAGTCGCTCTCCTGCAGCTGTGCACGTTCTCTCAAATTGCTGAAAGGAGCAGAGCATTTCCTAAATGGAATGCAGCCCAAACTTTATCCAGGCTTTAAAATGTTCTGCATCAGTTTTGTTAAAAAGCAGCTTTAAAGCCTTGTGTCTGTAGTCTGGATTGGTCTAAAAAAAAAAAGACAGTTGGTGATTTATAATGAAATCCCACCTGTTAGCTGTGTAGAGTGCCTTCGTAAATCCCTCCCAATCGTTACCTTGGAGGTAATTCTCAATTATTCAACACATTGTTTCTCACTTGCTGGTAATTAAGCTAACTGGCTAACAGGTGTCAAATGAACTCTGTAGGATTGCTGTTGGAATCAAAATAACAGGAAATGCCCCAGTTTGTGTTTCACTTCCTGTCTGAACTTTTATAGAAATGAGCGATAATCCAAGAAATGATGCTTTACTTTTTTGCTTATATTGATTCATTCTAAGATTCAATATTAAATTAAAGTCCCATAGGTGAAAATTGTCCTTTGCATTTGACCCATCCCCGTGGGGAGCGGTGAGCTGCAGATGTGGCCGTGCTCAGGAACTATTTGGTGGTTTAGCCCCCCAATCCAGCCTCTTAAAGCGGAGTGTCAAACAGGGAGGCATTGGGTCCCATTCTTAAGGTCTTTGGTGTGACCCGACCGGGATTTGAAATCCGATCTCCCAGTCCCAGGGCGGACACTCTACCACTAGGCCACTGAGCTAGTTTAAATGGTATTTGCTGCCAGTAAAAGTATTTTTCTGCCTGTTTTTTATTGACCATTTTGAGAAAAAAAAAAAAAAGCTTTAAATTGAGATTCTCAACTTTGACACCTTTTAACCACATTTTAATTAGTCAAATTCACAGCTCTTTAGAGCATGTTTTCACTTTTCTTTTAACACTTCAAGCAAACTTCCAGTTTCGGTGTTTCATTAAAAATCCAATAGGAAGAAATGAACAACGAAATAGGTTTGTGTAACCTCGTTTTTGAAGTCCACTAATCTTTTTACTTATGTAGAAACTCTTTTAGGGTTAAATATTTTAGAATCCAGAGTTTGAATATGTTATTAATAAGAAATATTGTTAAAATTCTTTTAAGAACTGTAAACCTACTAAATAAAAAATGTAGTATTTATGATAACGTTTCACAATAAAAAAAAGGAGAAAACTGATTTTAATGTTTGTATCTGAGTTTATAATTCATCATGAATGTCCTTTACCAGTTTGTTGTTGTGACAGATTGCATTATATTTCAGAGAGGTTGTGTTTACCTTGTTCTCAGTCTATTGTAGCCGTTTTCTCTCGTTTCAGTTTGATCTTGAAAAATCATCCCAGTGTTTAAAATTTGATGCAGCATTTCAGAGAGGTGGGATTATGTTGGCCGATCTTGCGTGCCTTAATTCGATCCAGCAGGAAGTGAGCTGTTATGCAACGCCGTGCAACGGACAGACGTGACAGACGGAGCAGCAGGTTTTTTGTGTGTGTGTGTGTGACTGTCGCCTCGTGTGTCCCCTCCGTAGGATGGACTGGTTCAAGCTGCAGCGCTTCGAGAAGGTCTTCAACGCCTCCTCCACCAGGATTGTCACAACGAAGGGAGTGAAGTGAGTGAGGGGAGGATGCAGTGTGCACAAAGGGATGCAGGACAAACGTGTGACTCAGCAGGCTTTGGGGGGGGGGGGGTGCTTTTATGCTGACTCAGGTCAGAGCTGTGTGCTAATAGAACAAAACTACACATCCCAGTTTCTGCTTTAGTCAGGTAGTCATGGTAAGCTCCACCACAGCATTTCAGCAACGCTCCGTAGCAACGGGGGGGAGAAATCTCAACAGCCGGTTCTGATCTGGTGTTCTGACCGTTGCAGCACCTGATTGGGTTCATTGTTCTGTTTCATGATCTAGTTGAATCGATTTTCAGCTCTCAGACGTACTCGTATTAGCCGAAACCACCCTGCTGATGGCTGGAGTCTGTGCTGACACTAGGGTGTGCATATGCAAGAATCTGGGGACATGATATAAATCCTAACATGGGAAAACGGTACAATATATCGTGGTCCTAAAAGCCGAACGAAAATTGCAATTTTCAAGACAGAATTTCATTTAAAATCTCAGGCCAGACACTTTCAAGACACATCCAGCTCTATCAAGAGATCTTGTTCTGTCACAAAGGCGTAACAGCTGCTGCCACCTAGCAGTAGGAGTGTGAATTGCACCACACAAGAAAATATCGTAAAGTTTGCTTGTAAATTCTTCATTAAATCCATACACTGGTCTTAAATGTTGATTCAGTATCATAACATGAAATATCACGATACTTTCCTCCATCCCTAGCTGGTTTGTTGTGTTTGGCTTTCTCCAAACTTGGCGCTGTGCATTATGGGTACGTTTATCTACTTTGGTCTCGTTTCTGACATCTTGTGGGGTAAAACTTTCTCCTGCAGCTCTTTCAAAACAAGTTCTCTTTTTTTCCGATTCTCCTGTCATGACCTTTAACCAGAGTCTGACCTGGAGCGTTTCTCTCAGCCTGACGTACCGTCCACTCCTGGGATAACGTAGTAATTATTTTAATATTGTTTCAATCTGTAGAACGATTGATGTCAGATTTTCTGGAAATAACCTTTAACCCTTTCCAGATTCATAACAGTTTGGTCTTTCCTTGTGTTAACACACAACTGTATGCTCCAGACCAGCTAACTGCCAAAGCTCTTCCTTTTTCATAGAGCTCAGTTAAATCTGGCCAGCAGCTCCTGGCTGCTACTTCCCATTATTAATGATTTTAAAAAGCATTTAGTGGGAACTTATTTATTCTAATCTGCCGTCATCGTTTGTCCAAAATTCTCCAGAATAAAATCTTTGTGTCAGGATGCATCTGTTGCTTTGCTTCAGCCGAATCTCTCTGGTTTTCTCCACCCTGCAGCTTCCTGCTGGTGAACAGCGTCGCCCTGCATGGGGACGGCTGTCCCATCTGCCAGTCGGTAGAAAAAGAGCTGATCAAACTCTCCAGAGACCTCAACTGTTCCTTTCAGGTGCGGAGAAAATTCCAGGAAATCACACTCTTCACATGTCTACGCCCGGCTTGCACTCTGCTGCCGACGTGCCAGAAGTGTGAACAGAAATAAGAAACTCCCAGTAAATCAGCTTGTGGCCGTAGCCGAGGTGTTTGGCTCATTTTTCCACGGCATCAGTCAGAAACAGTCTGATATAAATGTGAAAATGTTTATCTTTGGCTGATGGAGGTTTTATCTCGTGCAGAGCTCTCAGTCCAACAGCGAAGGGACGGAGAACTGTGAAGGCTCACAGACCTACCCCCCCACAGCCCCCATCATGTTACAGGTGAGCTGGATGTTTACAGACTGGACCTTTTAGTACCATTTCTGCACGGATGTGAATGTTTTAGGATTCTTCTCACAGAACTTTCTGCTGCCTTTATGGCTTCTGTGGCAACGTCACACTCGGCCTTGTAGGATAAAATGTCTTTAATGAGTTTGTCACGGCAGCGTTTCTTCTGCTAAGATGCAGCAGGATGAGTTTATTCCTGACTTACCAGACCAGCTCTGTCCCAATCCTCAACTACAGTCACACAATTCAGATCATGAACGAGATCTTGGATTCTAGCGGGATCTGTCGGATGACTTTCCACACAAGAGACCACACGTGGTGAAAAGAAAATCCTGTAAATATGAGTTTTGGTCCTGTTGTGTGTGGTGTGCTAGCCTGGCAAGCCATCCTATATACGTGACTATATAGTCTGGCCACGACCCACAGACAGATCTCAGTGGTGGGGTGGGATCTACTGTGTGGTTGTCTTACAAACAGTCTCTGCTTGCCACTGGATAACAAACAACGTGGCGTATGGATGTCAGTCAACGGGGCAGTTCGCCATACACTCTTGAAGATGCAAATACATCCTTTTTTCTAAATAAAGCTTTTACAGTGTGTTAGCTTAGAGTAAGGTAACATCCTATGGTCAAATTTGGTTACTGCAGTCTCTCACTCCTGTTCTGAGTTTCATGGCTGTTGCCAGAGACGAATCAGCACCAGAAGATTCTAGATAACAAGCAAAGATGAGTCATTTACAGTAAGTTGATAAGTAGATGAACACGTCATATCTGGTGTTAGCACTCTTTTATAGTAGGGAGCACTCACTACCCTTATTAAAGGTAATATGCCTCAGGCATAGAGGAAGTGTTGTTTTTACCGTCTGCCTGCCAGTTGCTTGCTGCTATTGCTCTGAATTACTAATTTGAGGAAGTAAAATGCCACATTTGACCCATTCACTGTAATATTGAGATGTTGTTAACTCAAAAAGTAGCATGAGATATTGTTAGAGCCGACTATTTGCTTCTAGGTTTACCGTTAGCATTGTTAGCTCAATGTTAGCCTCTGGCTTTCTTCACCCAATATTAGAGTAAAACAAAAAGAGGCCAGGTCTTCTTAGGGGGTACAAGAAAGAACTTTTGGTTCGCTCTCATTACTGCCATCAATTCTTTAAACAATGCTGGAGCTTTTTGCCGGCCGTGGTCGAGTTAAAAATGCCGGCTCTGCAGCGTTAGATTGCAGGAGACACGACAACCTTACACTCACTGATGGTAAAAAGTAGCTACGTCCCTTTTTCCTTTATTTTGAAAGGAGAAAAACTGACAAATCTCCACAGCCGGCTGAGAATAAAATTTGTTTCAGTACAGAACATTCCTTCCACCAGGGGAATCTTGCTTTATTCTTACGCACTGCACCTTTAAGTACATCTATCTGCTCTTGACTCAAAGAAAATCTCATGTCAAAATAGTCCAAAGTTGATGCCAAAGCCGTTTCAAATGAGCCGTTGCCATCTTAGTTTTACTCAGTCACAGTAACATCCTGCCAACCAAACTGATAAGAGTGCTGTGATTGGCCCCCCAAACCATTCGAGCGCTGTGATTGGCCCCCCAAACCGTTTGAGCGCTGTGATTGGCAAGCCACAATACTGGTCTGGGCTGCTTAGGTTCTAATTTAGCGTGGTTAGACCGACATGCAGAGTAAATTCATTTTGCTTCTGCTACTGCCCGTCTAGATTTCTAGGCTAGTGATGAGCAGCAAGATGGCAAAAACGACACCACCTAAACTAATTTAATTTATGGGCATTTTCTGATCAGATGGGAAAGCTCACAAGATCAAATGAGCCTTCAAAGTAAAAAAATGGCAGAGGAGGAGCATGCAACACTCTTCTGTCTACGAGTCACATTCAGCAGGCAGCACACCCCAATTTATGATTGGCGTGATCCCAAAGTATTTCTAAGCAGACCAGTGTTCCTAAGACACTACACACAGCAGAAATATCTGATAAAATGATCTTTAGAGCCACTACAGTAATCAGGCCCATCCTGAAGGTCTTCAGAAGGTGAGAATCAGCAGAATTGTCTTACCATGTGAACCTGGTCTTGGAGATAAACAACAAGCTCCATCTTGTAGGGGGGAGCTCAGGGTAGGGCCGCCGGTGGTTTGGGAGTAAACCTCTGGGCAGATCCTGGACCCACAGAAGGACTAAATCCTCTGGCGTGGGAACGCCTTGGGATCCCCAGGAGGAGCCGGAAAGTGTAGATGGAGAAAGTTTTCCAAACAAAAACTAATTGTCCTGTCATGACCTCTGACCTGCTAACTGGGTTGTTTCTCATCTGAATTCTGTCAAAAAACTTTTATGAGTTTTCACATCTGCTGATCATCACTTAAAGAAGAGCCTGAGGATTAAAAATCAGCCTCCTTCCCGTTTTTATCCGCCTCTTGCTTTAGTCTCCACTGTTTTACCTCTCATCAGTCAGCTCTCTAGTTCTTCCTTTGCACCTGTGCTGCAGTCTGTGGATCTGTTACAATCCTGGGATTTTAATTTTCCCACACCTGCACTCTCCTGCCTTTTGTTTGTCCATTGTGTCATTTTGTGACTCGCAGAACTCACTTCGACTTGGTGGATCCAGTTTTTACATTTTCCTATCATAGATTTATACGCCTTAAACCAAACCCAAGTTGTAAAACAGTAAATTAATCTATTATTTGTTTTAAAGATACGAGAATAAACATCAGATTAAAGTGAAGCACTATTTTTATTCCTAATTCAGGACATTTAAATGAATGATGGTTTTAATGAGGTGGAAATTGATTATTATGTCAGATCATATTATCCAAATCCAGTCTTTTGATGGGAATAATTAAATTAGTTTAGCTCAATAATGTTGAGCAGATGTTTATATATTTTAATAATCTTCATTAAACCTGCAGGCGCTGATTAAGCTCTGATTTTGTTACTTGAAGCTGAAGGTCAGAACTTTAGAGTCAGTAGCTGATGTTAAACTTCAGAGAAAAGGAGGATATTTTAAGTTTCATCATTTTGAAACAATAATCGTTCATCATCATTTAGTTTAAACACAAATACGGATGCACTTTTTTTGTTCTAATTCTGGTTCCAGGCTCTCTTCCGAGCCAGAACCTCTTTATTGGTTTCTGAGATAATATTGTGACTCCATGTGTGCTGCTCTCCAGCACTACCCTCTGTACAGAGTGAGCGACGCCAGCTGCACAGGACAGGATGCTGCACCGCCGGAAGAACGCCACCTGCTGTTCAGAGAGAAGTATGACGTGCTGTCCAAGGAGGCCTCTCAGCGGGTGAGTTTTCAGCCCCACCCCCCACCCCCCAAAAAAATCTCCCTCTACATGTAGTGAAGGAGTGATGAAACTGTGATGTAAGGGAGCAGCTCCTGAAGCGGGTTTTCTCCTCAGCTGCTGCAGTGGTTTAAGCCCCGCCTCATCCTGAGCGGACACACCCACAGCGGATGTGAGGTTCTCCATGACAACAAGTACCCAGAGATCAGCGTGCCATCTTTCAGTTGGAGAAACAGGAATAATCCCAGCTTCATCCTGGTGAGTGGAAGCATCGAGCCCATGGTTTATGTGGCAGAATCTGGTCTCTAATACCCCCATCCCCATCGTGTCCTCAGGCATCGGTGTCACCCAGCAGCTACACCCTTTCCAAGTGCTTCATGCCGGAGGAGAGCACGGTGATCGGGGTTTACTGCTCGGCTGGAGCCTGCCTGCTGCTGCTCCTCTTGGCTCACTGCCTGTGGATGAAGGGCTTGATGCAGCTCAGCCTCTGCCTGCTGGGGAAGCACAAGTCTCTGTGAACCACATTACCCAGAGTGCACCTTGTTTTATGGAGCTGGTAAAGGACTTCTACCTGTGTGGTGTTCAGTCAGGGAACACGTTTTAAATGTTTTTAGAAGATCAGTGCTGGCATTGATGACGGGAGCCCGATGGTGACAAATCACCAGTGTTAAAAACAATTTGAGGTTGGGATTTTTGGGGAAAAACCACTTGCAGCGAGTCGGACAAACGTGTGTAAATACTTCCTGGTCTAATCTCTGGTGGCGAGTCTGAGGTGCTTCTTGTCCCACCTTCTGATGTTACCTGTAAATGCACACACACCATCTCTGAGCACCTTTTATTTATACGTTTTTTGATGTCATTTCACCGCTTCTCGTTGTTTTTAATGATGCGTATTGGACATTATTTATTATCTTTTAGAGCAAAATTGTTTAATGAAGTGTAAATAAAAGTTTTCTGGTGGATAAATGAGGCAAACACAAACTAAATCATTTATTTCTAAAGTTTTTTTTCCTGATAATGAATTCATGTAAAGTTTGCATTAACCCCACACGTTTTTCTTTAGCTGATTATTTGCAGGAACTTCCAAATTTATTTAACGTCCTTTCAGAACTTTCTAGAATTTGTTCTGCTTTGGGATGAATAATTATTCCTGATAATTTTTCCTATAAAACTATATGATTGTTTAAGACTTATTTTCTAAATGAGATTAATTTGAAATATTTGAGTTTTCCTAATTTATATCAAAATGTGTCTGATTCTCTATCGTTTTAGATTTAAATTAGAAACTTTGCAAATTTACGTCGTAAAAATCCGAAGACAAACAAGAATTGCATATTTTGAGTGGTATGATGTCCTTAAAGAGACGGAGAGTAGAATGGTGACCAAAAACAACAAAAAGTCTAAACTCAAGTCACTTTGGCTCCTCAAAGAAAGAAAATACAGATTTAAATAAAATCAGCTTTGCTTTAGTTAAAACAAACCTGTTTCCAGTTAGAAAATATTTTATATTTAAAAAAAAGGATGTTTGTGAAAGGGCAAATGTCTCATGTGAAATGTGCATATTTAAAAACATTTTTTTTTTATTCTATAATTAAGATCTTCGTTTAGATCATAGTTCCACAAATTTTTGGCTTTTTAATGGCAGAAAAATAAACCTCAAAGCTGTTACAGAAACACATTAATAACGGTCGGATTAAAATGTCCCAGAAATTCAGGACAGTTTGGCAACGAACACCTAAGCAGAACAGTTAAGTTCAATCTTCACATTTTATGTTTTTAAATTGTGGGAAAACAAAAAGCACACAAAAAAATAACCATTTAAATGAAACATGAACACGACTGGACACCAAGATGGAAATAAAGCAAAGTCCTCTAATGTGCCTCTTTATTTAAAGAAAATAAAAACGTCATTTAATCATCCTCCCAGGCCAAACAAGGCTTTTGCACCTCCAGTCAGTTCACTCTCTTTCGGGGATAGACGTGTACTGTAGCAGAAGAAAAGGCTGATGCTGTTTGTACAAGGAAAAGAGCTCGTCTTGTTGGGTGCTGCTCACACATTCATAGTGCCTGTGCCATTAAATATGGCTCCAAAGGACCAAAAATTACTAATATTGCACGCTCATTTATTCACCTCCATCCTAAACATGCTTTCCTATGTGTGTATGTATACATATTTACTGTATACATACATAGGTATGTACACCTAGGCACACACATAATTAAACATGTATAATTGTACATATATATTTATATAGACCTATAAATTTACATGTACGTACATTTATAAAATTTTACACACAACACGCACTCACCCTTGCACACATAATGCGTCTGAGTCTATGTTTGTCTTATGTACACATGTGCACAGGCACGCACGTCGGTACAGATCTCAGACACACTTCATCTCCAAAGAAACAAAAAAAAAAGTTGGTTCCTATTAAAAACAACACCAGGTTGCAATTTGGACACTTTCAATAGATTTCCAATGTTTAAAGCTGTGAAATTCAAAAAATATCATATATATATATAAGGAGGAAAAACAAACTAAACTAAAAAAAAAAAGGTATGGCGCTGCAACATCTGGTCTTCACTGCAGGTAAGTGGTTAATTTGCATAATGTATACAGGTTTTTAGGATTTTTTTTCCCCTATTTTTAAATTTTTTACTAAACAGTATTTCCTTTATTTTTATAAAGCAGAAAAAAACTAAACTCTACAGAGAAAGTCCCCTACCCGCAGTCTCTTGCTGCCGATAGAGTTTGACATCAAGCTGTACAGCGCAGTCGAAAACATACTTACATCTGAGCTCATTTACAGGTACAGCCATAATCAAGGCACAAAGATCTACAAGTAGATTTGTTTTTCTTTCAATTAAGTTGTACAAAATAATATTACATTTTACAGTCTGTACAGGATAATTCAACCTTGCACAGTGTACAAGTTAACAAAAAACAACAACAAAATAAAAACAATACATTTTTCTCTCCCGCCCCACCCTCCTCTTCACCAGAACCTCTAAGCTAAAAGGGTGGTCCGTGTGGAAAAAGGACACCGGTCCGAGTCCGTGGAGGCAGCGGGGCTAAGGTGCAGAGAGCTCAGTCGTCATCACATCGCCGTTATTTCCTGCCCCTCTTTCCTCTCTCGCTCCACGCGTCTCTCGGCTGCTGGGTCCACCCTGCAGCTCAGCGAGCCAACGTCGTGACGGGGTAATAAATATTGTGATGCTACATTGTGTGTATGCTTCCTCCGGAGAAAACAATAACAACAAAAAAAGGGGGGTTATAAACGTTCCCCTCCACCCTCTTGTCTTCAGCATGGAGAGAAGAATCAGGTCGGAGGAGGAGGTGGGGCCAGAAGAAAAAAGGAATCAAAATCATGGTGGTGTTAACCATCAGGTGACACAAACAGAAACATGCGCATACGCTCACTCTGGAGCCATCCTTCTTCACACACTCGGCCCCTACACTGAGGTCTTGGAGGTGTGTTTTCTGTTTCCACACGCCCACCAGTCTGGGTCCCAACACACACACACACACACAAAAAGGGGGGGGGGGGGGGGGGGGGGGTGGCTGCAAGAATAGCAAAATAAAAATTTAAATAAGGAAGTAGCACAAGGCTTAGTGGAATGACAAAAATGAAGGCATTCAAAAGGAAAAACTGAAGAGGCAGCAGCACGCAACAACTTTGTCCCGCAGAAGTCCTTCTACACCAGAGCAGCGGGGACAAATCAAGAAAGGAAAAAGTAGAAAAGGTTAAAAAGATGAAGAGGATCTGACACACTTCAGTAGTACTTCATAGTCCTCAACGGGAGCGGGTGTCTGAGGGTCTTTATTGGCTGTGGGGCGAGGAGCAGTAACGGGTGGAGGAGGAGTAAAGGTTCATCAAGGATGCAGAATGGCGGAGATAAAACACAGAAGGCTGACGGAGACGGCCTCCCGTCCATCACAAGAGTTCGTACTGCCGCAGGTGCATTCTCTGGATGATGTCCCGGCAGTCGTTGAACACCCGCCGGATGTTCTCCGTGTCTACGGCGCAGGTGAAGTGGGGATAGCAGTAATGTCTGCCGTCACCACTCGCAGTGCTGATTCGCTGAGGAGGTGGAGATAAAGACCAGACGTCACTAAAATCACTTCATCTTCCCGCTGGTTTCAAAATAAAATCTCACACAGCAAAAAATAGAAAAAAACCTAGCTATCCATCACAAATCCTATCTTTACTTTTTAAAAATTGTTGTTAATGTTTCCAAATTAAGCACTTTTGAGTTTCTCCCAAGACAAATTCTGATTTTACTGCAGCTATGATGTGCACTAGCGGGAGCCATCTATTGCAGGCATCCACCCAACCAACCAGTTCAGGTTTGGCCCAGACAAAAGTAGACCCCAACACAAACCAAACTTTCATTAGAAAAAGAAAGATGAGACAGAAAACCTGCTTTAGAAACACAGAAATAAACATTTTCTTTCCTCAAAAACCCACAAAAATAAAAGAAAGCTACTGACAATAAAGCTATTTGAGGCCCAATAATAGCTGTTGCCACAGCAACAGCATCAGCATGAAGCAAACAACCATGTAACTATTCACAGAACAAGTTCTATAAAAAGCCATTTCTGTCAGAGTAATGTAACTGTATGTAATAATCCCAGTAATCACTGGCTGCTAAAAATAAACGCTGTTGCTTGTGAGCACACAGACCCCATGAGGAGGTTTAAATTAGCAGTCTCTCAAATTCAAAGCTTTCACAGCAAATAGAGCTGCTAAAAAACCCAGTTAGATAAGACGGGTTTATTTTAGCTTCAGACTTACCAGAAACTCGTCTCGGATGAAGAACTTGGCTCGTGTCACTCTGGGGTCTTCGCCTGGTTCAGGAGTTGCTGAAAGAAGCGGAAGAGTCGGCGTTAAACACGCATCGATACAACTGGGTGAATGGGTCACGTGAGGTCACGGCGCGGCACACACCTTCGTTTGGTATGGTGTAGCGAGCGTATTCAGGAAAGTAGTCCTCTATTTTGGATTTTCCAGCTAATACTTTCTCAGCCAACATGTCCTGCTTGTTCAGGAATAATATGACTGATATAGTCCGTAACCACCTGAAACAGCAGAAACAACAAACAGCGTTTATATATTTATTGGGTTTTCTGTTGAATCTACAAACAACAAGGTTTTGATGGGTCTATCAGGATTGTTGGGACTCTGCAAAAACATTTTATTTTATTCTTTAGGACGCGCTCTGTACTCCAGGTCTATTTCAAGAGACAAATTAGAAAATCTGAAGGTGATTGGTTTTTGAACGACTACTGTTTAATTAGCTCTGCGTCTCTGAAAAATCTGATTTGTCCTGTGCAGCTTCCTATTTGTCTGAAATCAGGAGGGTAGAGATGAGAAAATGGAATTAAAATAACCAAATAACATCAATAAGGCCCAATATTTGACCAAATTCTCCCCTGCTGGCAATCTTAATCATGCACTGATAATCTTATAAGATATTCCTGCCATGTGCGGTGGTTAAAGTGACAGTGTGTATTTTCCCTGGCGACAGGAGGCAGTGCTGACCTAAATCATAGCAAGCAAGCGGCATTTTTGTGTTCAAATAAGACCAGACCAACAAATGGCCATTAGAGTCAAAAATCCCTGTGAGCCCAAACTCCAGAAAAATGACAAACACATCAGATTCCCTCTCATCACTGGCAATGTAGCATCAAGAAGGGACTGTTTTCCTCTCTCTCCTCATGAAGAACTAATCTCCATGAGATACGGCTCAAGGAGCTGGATTATAAAACCTGTTGCAAGCTACACCTGATGCAACGCTCCTTCAGAGTAAAAGCTGAACTCACTGACCCTTCAGGGTCCCGCTGACGCTGTCATCCAAGACTAGTCTGTCGTACCGTACGCTGTTTCACCGGCTCCGGTACCAAAAGGGGGTCCGAGGACCTGGCATTCTGGATCTACAACGGAGGTCTCCGCAAGGGTATGTAGAACGGCAAGATAGCGTCTGAATGTGGTTTTTGAAACTCCGACTATAGTTTAGAGCAAAAACATTTGCTCCCACACAGAACTAATGCTTCTCTGGAAACGAGAGTTCTGATAACAACATTCCACATTACACCATCCATCTTGCCTCATATACAACCTAGATCCATTCATCACATAGTGTTAGAGTTAGAGTTAGCCTTGTTTTAAATTGTTTAGAAATACATCTTCTTAAACTTTAAAACTTGTCTCTCTCTCTTTTGATTGGGTTAATGCGAAGTGTTACCTAATCCCTGCAATAAAAAGTTCCAATCTTCTGTTTAAGGTGATATTCAAAGATACATCAAATTGATTTCATATTTTCTAAGGAATCTCACCTTTGATGGTTTCTTACGTAAGATGTAGTTATTGAACCACTACAGCAACAAGTGAAGAGGTAAATGTGTAAAACAATGTTTATGAATGGTGAAAGTTTTGTAATAGTTTGTTACAAATCAGTAAATATGTTTTGTCCTCTCGGGCTCCCATAGAAGGAAGCATGGTGTCGCCCAGAGACTTAGACACACTGCCATCTATTTTAGATTTGATTTTTATGGATATATGTTACGAAGATGCCAATTTTTTTTAACAACCGAGCATCATTTCATTCATTTAACCAATGAATATTTCCAGAAATTACTCCTCCTTGAACCGTCACCTTATCGTGGTGGAGGAGTTTGAGTGCCCTAATGATCCTAGGAGCTATGTTGTCTGGGGCACTTTGTGCCCCTGGTAGGGTCTCCCATGACAAATTGGTCTTAGGTGAACGGTGAGACAAATAACGGTTCAAAGGATCTTTCATGGAAGTAAATTCAAAGAGTCGGAGTAGCCGTCCCGGAGGGTTACCGGGGTCCCAACCTGGAGCCAGGCCTGGGGCTGGGGCCCGTGAGCGAGCACCTGGTGGACGGGCTTTCGCCCATGGGGCCCGGCCGGGCCCAGCCCGAACCGGATACATGGGCTCATCCAACTGTGGACCCACCATCCGCAGGAGTAACATGAAGGGTCCGGTGCAATGTGGATCGGGTGGCAGACCAAGGCCTTGGCGGTCCGATCCCCAGACAAGAAAACTGGTTTTTGGGACATGGAACGTCACCTCGGTGGCGGGGAAGGAGCAGGAGCTTGTGGCAGAGGTTGAGCGGTACCGGCTAGATATAGTCGGTCTCACCTCGACACATAGCATTGGCTCTGGAACCCGAGACCTGGAGAGGGGTTGGACACTCTCCTTTGCTGGAGTTGCTCCGGGTGAGAGGCGGAGGGCTGGGGTTGGCTTTTTGTTAGCCCCAAGACTCTCTGCCTGTGTGTTGGGGTTTACCCCGGGGGACGAGAGGGTAGCTTCCCTGCGCCTTCGGGTCGGAGAACGGGTCCGGACTGTTGTTTGTGCTTATGGGCCAAATATCAGTTCAGAGTACACACCCTTTTTGGAGTCCCTGGGACGAGTGCTAGATAGTGCTCCATCAGGAGACTCCATTGTCCTGCTGGGGGACTTCAATGCTCACGTGGGCAATGACAGCTTGACTTGGAGGGGTGTGATTGGGAGGAACAGCCCGCCTGATCTGAACTCAAGTGGTGTTTCGTTATTGGACTTCTGTGCAAGCCGCAGTTTGGCCAAAACGAACACCATGTTCCAACATAAGGATGCCCATCGGTACACTTGGTACTAGGGCAGCCTAGGTCGCAGGTCGATGATAAGACTTTGTAGTCGTATCATCTGACCTGCGGCCGTATGTTTTGGACACCTGAGTGAAGAGAGGAGCGGAGCTGTCAACTGATCACCACCTGGTGGTGAGTTGGATCAGATGGCAGGGGAAGATGCCGCGTAGACCTGCCAGACCCAAACACATAGTGAGGGTCTGCTGGGAACGCCTGGCAGAAGAACCTGTCAAGACGGTACCGGATAGCCAAGCGGGGTGCAGCAGTGGCAGTTGCCGAGGCAAAATCTCAGGCGTGGGAGGAGTTTGGTGAGGCCATGGAGAAAGACTATTAATCTGCTCCAAAGAGGTTCTGGCAAACTGTCCGGCGCCTCAGGAGAGGAAGGCAGCAACTCGCTCACACCGTTCACAGTGGGGATAGGGAGCTGCTGACTTCAACTGGGGCTATAGTCGGACGGTGGAAGGAATACTTTGAGGAACTCCTCAATCCCACCTATGCACATTCCGAGGAGGAACCAGAGCCGGGAGACCTGGGGATGGACTGTCCAATCTCGGGGGCAGAAGTTGCTGAGGTAGTCAAACAACTACACAGCGGCGGAGCCCCGGGGGCGGATGAGGTTCGTCCTGGGTATCTCAAGGCTATGGATGTTGTAGGGCTGTCATGGTTGACACGTCTCTGCAACATTGCGTGGTCATCGGGGTTAGTTCCTGTGGAGTGGCAGACCGGGGTGTGGTCCCCATCTTTAAGAAGGGTGACCTGAGGGTGTGTTCCAACTATAGGGGGATCACACTCCTCAGCCTCCCTGGAAAGGTCTACTCCAAGGTACTGGAGAGGAGGGTCCAATCAATAGTTGAATCTCAGATTGAGGAGGAGCAATGTGGTTTTCGTCCTGGCCGTGGAACTGTGGACCAGTTCTATACCCTTGCAAGGGTGATGGAGGGGGCATGGGAGTTTGCCCAACCAATCCACATGTGTTTTGTGGATTTGGAGAAGGCTTATGACCGTATCCCCAGGGGCACCATGTGGGGGATGCTCCAGGAGTATGGGGTGGGTGGCTTTCTGTTAAGGGCCATTCAGTCCCTTTACCAGAGGAGCACGAGTTTGGTCCGCTTAGCCGGTAGTAAGTCGAACCTGTTCCCGGTGAGGGTTGGACTCTGCCAAGGCTGCCCTTTGTCACCGGTTCTGTTCATTACCTTTATGGACAGAATTTCTAGGCGCAGCCGTGGTACAGAGTATGTCGAGTTTGGTGGCAGGAGAATCTCGTCTCTGCTTTTTGCGGATGATGTGGTCCTCCTAGCTTCATCCAGCTCTGACCTTCAGCTCTTGCTGGGTAGGTTCGCGGCCGAGTGTGAAGCGGCTGGGATGAGGATCAGCACCTCCAAATCTGAGACCATGGTTCTCGACCGGAAAAGGGTGGCTTGCCAACTCCGGGTCGGGGAAGAGGTCCTACCTCAAGTGGAGGAGTTTAAGTATCTTGGGGTCTTGTTCACGAGTGAGGGTAGGAGGGATCGGGAGATCGACAGGCGGATTGGTTCAGCGTCTGCAGTGATGCGGATGCTGAACCGATCTGTCGTGGTGAAGAGGGAGCTGAGCCAGAAAGCCAGGCTCTTTTACCGGTCGATCTACGTCCCAATCCTCACCTATGGTCATGAGCTTTGGGTAATGACCGAAAGAACGAGATCGCAGATACAAGCGGCTAAAATGAGTTTCCTCCGTAGGGTGGCCGGGCTCAGCATTAGAGATAGGGTGAGGAGCTTGGACATTCGGGAGGGACTCGGAGTAGAACCGCTGCTCCTCCGGATTGAAAGGAGCCAGTTGAGGTGGTTTGGGCATTTGGTCAGGATGCCTCCTGGACGTCTCCCCGGGGAGGTGTTTCGGGCATGTCCTGCCGGCAGGTGGCCCCCGGGTCGACCCAGGACATGTTGGAGAGGTTACGTCTCCAATCTGGTCCGGGAACACCTTGGGGTCCTGCTGGAGGAGCTGGCGGAGAAGGCCGGGGAGAGGACGGTCTGGAGCTCCCTAGTTGGGATGCTGCCCCAATGACCCACACCCGGATAAGCGGAGAAAGACAACGACGACTTCCAGAAATTAATAGTAAAATCTCTTCAAGGGCATCTGGTCTGCTCGGAAGGACGTTGGGACCGCTCCTATCATAAGTCGGCGTGATAAAACATTATCACAGTTTAAATTATTTTGGTTTAATAGAGGAAAAACAGACGTGCTGTCTGACGTGACCAATCAGAAAGTGAGGTGATGGAAGCATGCCACACACTCCTACTCCGCCAACTTTGTTGACTCTGAAGTCACATTTGATCCCAGAGGTTTTGCGAGGTTTCCCATCTGACCGGGAAATGACAGTGTGTAAACATCATACAACAATTTTAACATGGTCTACCTCCTGAGCTGGGATAAACCCGGTTTTTGCAGAAATCCAACAACGAGTTCCTTTAGCTGTGGGGTAGGTCTAATGATTTAATTGTTTAAGCTAAAAGTATTCAGAGTGAGTTCTGACTCACCTGTTGTTCCAAATACTGCGGAAAAGGTCCAGGGCTTCCCGTAGCCTGTTGGTGTTGTTGTCTTCCCTTATTACCATGTTGTAGCTGCTGCTAGCCACCACAAAGATAATAGCAGTGACGTCTGGAAGGAGAGCAGAGGTTCTGAGTCAGGATGAGAAAGAAAGAAAAGAAAAGAAAAGAAAAGAAAAGAAAAGAAAAGAGAGAGAGAGAGAGAGAGAGAGAGAGAGAGAGAGAGAGAGAGAGAGAGAGAGAGAGAGAGAGAGAGAGAGAGAGAGATTGTGCGTCTCACCGTTAAAGCACTGGATCCATTTTCTCCTTTCATCTCTCTGGCCTCCAACATCAAACATGCTGCAGGAGGAGAGGAAACACACCATCAGACTCACTGCTGCCTTCTTGTGATAAAGAAACACTGACGCTGGAGGATTTCAACATAAAATTTAGACCCTTATAATTATTTATTTGATTTAAAACGATCCCAGAGCATGCCCAGGTCTGGATAGAAAGAGTTTTAGGAGTTAAACGTCGACAATTAAGAGGTTTTTATCATAAATCACTTAGGATGATGTGCAGTGATACAAAGGGCTGTTTCAGATCAAACTAAAGTGCTGTGTCTGCGAGCGCGGAGAAGGATTATGTCATCGGACGACAACAAAGTTCACTTTATCAGCCGCTCTAAGAACTGAAACAGTAAATAATCATCTAGCTCAGAAATCACGCCACGATCCTTTTACATTTGAGTCACTAAGATGACGCACTTTTCCCAACTCAGCTTCCGGCCACAGAGCAGTTTGGGCGTTTTGTCGGAGGGAACTAACTTTTGACATTTGAGGCTGCTAACACGAGGACAAAGTAAATATAGCCGAGACGCCCAAGAGGGCATTCCGATCTGTGATTTTTCATCAACAGGGACACAAAAATGGGACTGATTCAAAAAAAAGGAGAAAATTATTGGAAAATGCCTCGAGAGCTTTCCTTTAAAACTGGTTGACAAGATTTTTGGAAAAGCTGCTACATAACAGAGGAGGTAAAAGCGGATGTTGACAGGGCAGAACAAAACCTTATTGTGAAAAGTTTGTTTACAAAAATAACTAAAAGAAGCTGGGCTTTATTTCTAAAGGAACAACCTTTCATTTTAATGGCTCCATTACTACATCGTCCCAAAAAATGCAAAAATTTCTAATAACTGTTCAAAACTTACTGAAAGTTCACTTTATCTACTTGGAACCTTGTTTCAAAAATCCCTGAAGTTAACACTCGGCAGCGTAGAAGGTCCTGTACATCACACACAAAAAGAAGGTGCTCGGTTATTGGTAAAAAAAAAAAAAACTTTTTGAGGTTTATTTAGAGAAGATTTTCAGCAGAACCTACCTGATCTGTTGGTGTGTAATCATTCTGTCTTACAGAGTCGATTCTGTCCAGGAAACTGCAAGAAAAACAAAACAGATTTGAGTTTTTGAGTAAAATTCAGGCAAAAGAACATTTTTTCAACGAATAATAATAACGAAAGGCAGCTTCGAGTTAAAGCAAAAATAAATAAATAAATAAATAAAAGAAGAGTTCATGCCTTTAAACTCATCCATTCACTATAGCTAGAAGCAGCTCCATGTCCACCTCCTTTTGCAGAGGCCAGAGAGGCTGGCGTTATGGCAGCTTTACGCCACAAGAGGGCAGACACTTTCAGTCTGGGCTATTTTGGTCTGTCTCTAGCCAGAGTGATTGCATAAGGCAGTTATTGTGGAGGTTAGACAGCTTGCTGTTGCTGTCTGTTCACAACAGAGAGAGCATGTGCAGCAGCGAGAGCAGCTGGGCCTCTGCAGCACGGCGGGCAAGCTCAGGACACAGAGACCCGGGACACACGGCCACACAGGCCTCTGGAAGATCTGGACTGCTCCATAAAGACCTCCACAAGGTGTTCCAAGGCCATGGTGCATTTGGACATGAATATATATTAAGACAGCTAGTGTAGAGACCACAATTTACAAATATCTGAGGTGGGTACACAATCGAGCATGTCTGAGTCAAGTTTAGACTCGGTTGTTTTTACTGTCTGTATGAAAGCAACAGGTGACAAGATCAGAATGAAAAGTGTCTAGATTAAAGCCAAAAGACAGTTAAAACCTACAAAATATCCCAGATACGTTTAAATACAGCGTAAAGTCATCGTTTCAAGTGTGATGAAAGTCGAGTCCCTTTGAAAGTAAAAATGTTCCAAATGGATCAGCAGTTTCAGTCTGTTCAGGGTCCACATGCTAAAACACAAACAGCATTTAGTGACTAGAATGGAAACTGAAATTGTTCCACCAAATGAAGTCAAAACGACCTAGAAAAGAGTTATTAAGTCAGAGATGATCTTGTGTCTGGAAGACAGAAACTTCACTGCACTCAGCTGAAGTTACTTTTATAAGAATGACCCAGATGTGGACCAAACCGGGTCATCCTCTCACCATCTTTGATTTTCTAACCAACCCAACTGCAGTTTCAGGATGTCACCAGACAGACGACACGGCTGCAGTGTACAGGAAACAACCCCCCCCCCCCACACACACACACACACACACTTGCTCTCACTTTTTTTTTTTTGCAAGTTTGTGTCGAGGACGACCGTCACTGCATTTTCACTTCAGGCCTATAAAAGCAGCGCACCGCCACGCCCAGCCAGGATTAAATAACCCAGAATGAATACTGCTTTATAAACCGTTGGATAACGGCGACGCTGCTCATGTGCTCCGACAACGAGGTTTTCATTACATCCACTATTTCTGTCACACACAAAAAGGAGAAGTGAGGCTATTTCTTGCAGGAAAACTTTCTCACATGGTTTTGAATGAGATCTCAGGTTCCAGCCAGTGTAACATATTTTCAGCTAATTCAACAACACGCTAGTCACACTTGGCCATGCTCAGAAATGTCTGAAATGGCTTTTTGCTACGTACCTTAGAATAAACTAATTATTAAATGTTGTAGCTGGCCCAATCCACTGACTACATTCCCCACAATTCCTTTCTGTCTTTACCTCCAACTCAACCTTTGGACTGTGGTCATTTTTGAGGCAGATTTCAAAACTTACAGACTTTTAAAACCACAAAACAAAGAATATAAACGACTTGAACTGGTGAGTTTTTGACTCCTGCTGGTTCTAAATAATAAATGAAGAATTTTTTGTTTTCCTCTTATTCTCTGAAGTGTTGATATTTTTTCTGATTGTAATTTAAAGGCCCAGTGTGTGTGATTTTTACCTGTTTACTATCAAATTCTATGTTTCCAGTTCACAAACTTGTCCTTTTTTACTAATATTTATCACCAACTTCAATTCTAAATATTCCTCTCAACTTGAAAATATACATTTTTATATACATAAACTGTGGTCGACGCTCCATGGTCATCCACCATCTTAAAATACAGTAGCTGTTTAGGGACATACAGCTCCACGTTACCGTTTGGACTATGATTGTAACCTGAAAGAACCAGCAGAGGGCAGCAGTGCTCCCTGGAAGCACGGAGTCTGCTAATTCAACTAAGAAAAAGAATAGCTACACCGTTGCTGTACTTGTTAGTTTGAATGAAAAACTATTAAATGAAAAGACACAAAATTTGTCAGTTCGTCATCATGTCCAACACAAGGAAGCTGCATATGTTCAGACCATGCCCCCACAATGCGGCTCAAAAATTGAGCCCAACCCAGAAGTACCATAAATTGCAGTTCCACCCTCATCCGCTGGGGGCTGGTGTCAGAAGCGAGCAAATCCTCATTGACTCCCATGTTAAAAAATACCAATTTCACAGCAGAAATAAACATGTTTACATCCTGGTACCAAAACATGTTTTTGGTTTAAATTATCTAGTTTACACTCATGACAACTCTGAGGGGGTGGATTTTTTTCTCACTCTTCTGTTTAAGTGTATTAAAAGCCTAAAATTCTGTATAATTAATGAGCATCAGACCCACGTGACTGCCGCCTCAGACCCACGTGACCGCAGAGCTAGCTCCGTGGAAAGGCCTCAGTAGAGCCTCGGTCTGGCCTGGAAACTGTTCCGGGATTTTGAGTCTCTGTATTTGTGTATTCTTTTTTGGATATTTTTTGTGCAATTGTTGGACAAAATGACTTGCTGTGGCATTAACTGCACTAATAGAGCGTCCAAGGAGTCTCCACTTCATTTTTTTCGGTAAGTAAAATTATATTTATGTATTTAAGGTCACTGCCGAGCTGAGCTTATATTTTAACATGTACGGTTTAACCACGAAATTTAAATGTAATAGGGTAAAACCCAGTGCATTTAACATAATGCTGCACTTTAGAGTTGAAATATAACATGTTGGTGGAGCTGGGTTCCGACTATCGGCTTGTGGAGCTCTTCTCCCCTCCCCACAGCTCTGTGCATCTCTGTCTGATCGCAGCTTCTGTCTGCTGCGCAGGCTGCCGGCTTGTGGAGCTCTGGGATGGAAACCTTTCCACCTGGTTCTCCCCAGCGGCAGCTCTGCGCATCTCTGATCGCAGTGGCGCTTGTCTGCTGTGCGGCAGCCGGCTTGTGGAGCTCTCGGAGACCTCTGTGGTCCACCCGGTTTTACCCAGCGGTCAGCCTGGCTCATCTCTGACTCAGAAGCTCTGGTGTTGTGCACAGTTAACTCCGGTTGTAGCTAGGTTGCTACCTCCGTTAGCTTGGCTCCCACCTCTGCATTAGCTTTGGGTTAGCTTCAGGTTAGCTTGTAGCTAGTTCGACCGGGTGTCGTCAGTTGATCCCAGCCTTACAGCCCCACCCTCAGCTCCACCTCTCTTCCCTTTTGTGGAACTGTCTGGGCTTGACGGAACCTGTGACACGGTCAAAATGGCAGTGGTGGCCACCTCCCATTTTAGCACAAAAACTTATTATTGGAGCCTTTGGAAACCCATTGTCCAATATTTATATGTCGATGGTTCAGACCCCCACCCGATATTATCTGGACGCCAGCCTCCGATTAGTGTCTCTGACTCCCAAACTCAACTCAAGTAGTTCATCCGTCTTTTCCTAGTACCAGAACTCCCGACCCGGTCCCAACGTGTCCGTTCCAAAGTACTTTCACTCAAGTCTCCTCTCTTCCGGCAGCCTGCTTTCTCGGCCAACATGTTCATCCGCTAGCCAGTGGCTAAATCAGCGATGTTTACTTTATCTCCACAACCCTTTACTAATGGCGATGTAGTTCTCCACGCGTTACTGAGACGCTCCAACACAGAGGGCTTCTTCTCAAACGTTACCTTTAGACTTGGGTCTCCTTTTGCTGGTAATCCGTGGGAGTTTCGTGCACCATACACAGCGTGTCCCCCGGCTGTAGCCATGGTTAACTAGTAGCTTGGTAGCTCGTTACCCCAATCTCCACCACGCCAGCCGTGAGCCACGATTAGCTGGTGGATAAGTCAGTATTGTTTACTTGATCTCCAGCGTGTCCCCGGCTCACCAACACTCCTTCACCAGCCTGGTTAACGATCAGCCAGTGATCGCTCCATAGATTGTAGCGGCAGCCAGTTTGTTTACATCGAGTGCACCGTGATCCACGTGAAACGGGTGTTGTGGGAAATTATGCTCCCCTGAAATATTCTGTTTCCCTTAGGCAGTCAAGAGCAAATATTTCCAAATTCACAGAACGCATTTTTCATTATGAGGACTGAACAACTTCAATTAAAAGATGGTTAAACTGAGTTGAGATTACATATTTTACATAACTTTCAAAATTGATAAATAAGCTTGCTGCAAAAGGGTGACCAAGAATGTTTTTACTGTATCTTTTTTATTGTTTTTAGGAGGAAATACAGATAAAAAATCACAAGCATAACATTATTACATTACATTACATAATTTTTCCATAAAAGTTTATCACAAATGTTGTGAAAATAGCCAGAAGTGTGATCTCCCAACATGGGGGACAGAATATTTCAGGGGAACACAATTTCTCACAACACCTGACCTCCCGGCTGACGTCACCCCTCCTCCGTGTGTGAGTGGTGACAGCTTCAAGATCTAACAGAATTAGCTTGCTTCCTCCAGAACTGGTAGGTTGATAAGCAGTCATAATTATAAATGATTTTTAAAGAGGTCAAGTAGCTTGTTTTAAGCGTTGTGTGGGTTAGGCTACACAGGTTGGAAATTGATTATACAGTCAAACTCATGAGTGAGCCACCGTAGCTGCAATACTTTCTCTGAACTGCATGGTGCTAAAGAGTCACATTTTTTCATCATGATTTCAATGGATTTCACACACGGGGCCTTTAAGTCCTTTTTGAGCTGTGAAATTTTTGCAAGAAGAAAAATAAGTCAGAAATTATGGAAACTTTTTAAATCTTTGCTATATTTGACAATTCAGCTCATTTTCTTTATTTTTCTAGACAATCTGAAATTATGATCTCACTTCCTAACACTCGGGGTAAGAACCACGCTGCTGCTCTGTCAGCA